TAGGATGTGTTCAGAGACCAGGTCAGGTCAGATGTGATGTGGATGCCCAGGAACTTGATGTTATCCACTTGCTCCACCACCTCCTTGTGTATGAGAAGAGGAGCATACATTGTCTTCCTGGACCTCCTATAATCCACAATGACTTCCTTAGTCTTGTTGGTGTTCAGGACAAGATTGTTATCTGAACACCACCTTGTCAGGTGCTGGATCTCCTCTCTGTAGTGAGTCTCATCATTGTCTGAGATGAGACCCACTACGGTGGTGTTGTCTGTGAACTTCACTACTGTGTTTGTGGGGTGAATGGCATCACAGTCATGGGTAAACAGAGTGAAGAGAACTGGGCTGAGCACACAGCCCTGTGGTATGCCTGTGTTCAGGACCAGTGTGGATGATGTTTGTATTTCCACTCATTTATTTGGGATTTATCTTTCATTTGACACCCACCTGTGCATTTGCTCCCCTCCTCTAAACCCGCCTCGCCCCTGCTTGCAGTGCTCTGTACAGACGTGCGTGTGACGTTTGCTTCAGCTAGCTACCTGGCTGAAACAGCTTTATGTTAATCCATAATGCAAGTTATTCGAAATTACGCGTTCACCAATGAATTTTTATGTAACAGCATATTTCGACTGTCAGGTAGGGAACCGCTATCTGCGTGTGTGACAAACTTCGGATGAACGTTACATGGAGAGAAACTCACCTTGACAAACGGGCTGACCTCTTCATGTCCAGCTTTCTCCGAGACGGGGTGCAGCTCCGTCAGAGCGGGCGAAACAGTGGCACCGCTCGGTTTTGACTGGGAGACGAACCGAGTTTGTGGATTTGACAATAAGCGGGGCAACGCGAGCCCAAACCGTGACAGTCGGATTAACATTTCGACTGTTTGCGAACAACACTGTTGGCCGAAATCAGAAACAGGATGTTCTGTCCTTCTTCTTCGTCATTTCCTAGACGTTATAGGGCGCGTTGCCGCCGCCACTACGCGGTCGATGGTAACGCACCCGAACTAAAATGTGGACTAACTAGCCAGGCTGGGACACAGACCCAGAGAGGAGTGGAACATTTGAAATACACCTTAAAAGTAAATTAAATTCTTAGTTCCATGAAATAAACAATACAATATTAAGAATCGAATTCTTTGTGTGTAAAAATGAGACACATATAGTTTAGCTAACTTTGGCTGTGCTCCTCATTTACTCCCCACCACTGAAATGACTCATGCCAAGTGTTCCACAACAATACAATTGGACACTGCATGATATAAAACAACACAGGTTTGATCAATATCAGTTAAGGAGCACTTGAAACACGTTAGTTGCATTTAAGGCAACAATTTGTCATTGTTTTTCATTCATTAATAGTGAAAAGCATCACATTTTGATTATGGCAACGGTGACACCCGGGATGGCCAATCAGATTCGGGGGGTGGCTTGTGCTATACCTGGCCATCTCCTGCTAACACTAATACAAGTAATCAGTCTGTGCTGCTTAAGTAACTTATTCAAAAAGACCATCCAGGCCGCTGACAGGGCCATTGCAAACAAAGCTCTACTGGTGCATAAGACCCTAATAACTCAAATCATACTTTTTTTTTTCTTGAATGTTTAAAGCTTAGGCCACTATTCCACTGCCTGCTGTGACTACAACTACTACGGGTAAAGATAAAAGTGTAGAGGTATTAATCTTTATAAAAATAATTCAACATACAACATTAACAACATGTCTTTACGGTGTAAACATCCGGCCCTGTAGTGCACCTTTTTGCATTCTTTTGCATTTCACAGTAACTAGTCTGTCAAGCAGTCTAATCATATTTTGTAACTCAAATTCATCCATCCATCCATTTTCTTCCGCTTATCCGGGACCGGGTCGCGGGGGCAGCAGTCTAAGCAAAGATGCTACGTGTGAGGTACACTGACTGGCCACTTTATTAGGTACACCTGTATAATTCTGCACTTCAATGCAACATTTCCACCTTAACATCTGTGCTGCTGAAGCTCAACATGTTTGTTTTTGGTGAAATTGTCATAAATGTATACATTTAATTATATGTTTAAAGGTGGAGTTGTACTGGACTACATTATATTCAGAGGTGTCTCTATATGTTTGTCCTCCCCAGCTACATAGAACAGCAGGCCAGATTATTAGGAACACCTCTGAATATACTGTCACAGCTGGAGAAGTGTGTGTGAGCTTACTGCAAGTCCTGATTCTGGTATTTAACAAGTGCTCAAAGCTGTCAGTGCTCCGTTTTTAATCGCCACCTTTTTGCATTGTTTTTGGTTTAATTAACTTGTGACAACATGAGCTGTGATGTCTGGAGAATGAGAACTCATTTTACAGCTCCAACAGTCATGTTATAAGACGTTGACGCCTCCTGGGGTACTATCAGACGCTCTGCACACTGGTGGCTTCATGTGTTCAAAAACATGAACATTAAAACATCTAAATCTATGATGCTATATGAAAATACGAGTTTACACTGTGGCAGTCAAACCATCTGAAACAGATGACAAAGCAGCAGGAGCCTAATGTTCAAGATGATGTTTAACAATAGATTCCTACTTAAGACTAATTTATGAGAAGTTACAATTCAAGAAGGGATTAGTTTCATGATTACATTTGTTTCTAACGCTACCAGATTTATGGAGGAGTTTGGGGACTTGTATACAGCTCATTAACTTTACACATGGCCAAAGAAGTGGAACAACAGCCAGCAGCAGCCTGATTTTAAAAGTGATTATCGCAGTAAACTTCATGTATTACTGCTACAACCTCACCAGAAAATGTTCAATTTAAGTTACTTACTCTACACGTTACAGTTTCACTTCACGTTTGATGAGTCTTACAGCAAGTCCAGGGTAACACCAACATAACAAACATCACTAATTCTGATTCTAAACGTTCAGCACCAAACACCAGCTCCTGAGGTGCCGTCCCATCACCACCACTATCAGGGAAAGCTAGAGGCAAATCAATCATTCTTCACCCAGTCATTTCCATTGATTATTATTTATTGTGTCTGGTACACAATCAGTAACACTGTTGTGTGTTGTATAATTAAAAAGTTTGTGCACAGCTATAATTTAATGAGATAAAACATGTTACAAATGCTGACAGTCCAGCTAGTCCAGTCACTTCAGTTCTTTTTAAATATGCTATTAAAGACGGATTTACAAAAGGAGGCCAAACCAAGTGTCAGAGTAATAACTGCAATAATCACAAGGGTCCTTCTAAACACATGGGAATCTGCTATCAGCTTAAAACAGAAGGTGAGCCATTACATTTCCTGTTCAGCCCCCCATGTTACAGACTTATGGGAATAATACAGGCCACTCAAAACCAAGAATGAAGTTTTAAAGGTAAACAAAGCTGAGATAAAAAAAAACGACAACTGTAAGAGATACACTCCCTAACTTTGTTCTGATGTCCATAGATTCCACACAACTGAGCTGTGCTGAGGTCCAAAACATTAACAAGAGAAAATGTGGGCCATTACTATCAAATTGGAAGGTGTGTGTGCGTTTTAGGGTTTATTAACACATTACTGATCCTCTGTGATGCTACAAGTCATTTACCTTAATTTAAAATATTACATTACACCTTGATGAACGTCTGCCTTACATCTCAATTAATTGAAAAAAATCATTTTTGCATTGTTGCTTTGTTTGGAATAAAATTACTGTAAAGATATTTCAGAGGTTTTTCAGATGTTACTGATATTTTCAAGTATGGAGGCCGATTCACACCAGGTGAAACGTTAGCAATGACAAGAGTAAAAAATACTTACTGTAGGTTAAAATTCAGACACTGAGTCAGTTTCGGCTTATGGGTCAGAATTTTACCTTAACACAATAAGTTATCATTTTTTCATTTAGTGTCTTATTCATGACCTTTTGTAATCTCCTAATTTTCACTCAGGTCAAAATGTAAACTTTATTTCCACTGTTAAAATCCTGATTCAGAACTATAACTTTCTTGAACACATCAACACCTGATGATCATTTATCAAATTCAAAATTTGACTTGGCTCTAAAACTGGCTTAGTGAACTGCCCATATGGTGACAGATGCTAAGAGCACAGAAGAAATGATAAATCAAGGCTCCTGATTAAAATAAGCAAGGCACCTCTCTGCCAAACAGCTGCACACAGGCCCAGATTTGTTTGTTTAAATGCCACTGTATCATATTCAAACATGTCTGTTACACTGAAGAACCTTCAGCAACCACTCAAAGCAAGTCTAAACAGTCATGTGTGAAACCTGTGCCTAAAATCAGTCTCATTTCGACAAAGCTTTGAAATCATAACACAGAATACAGGGCGAAGAGATGGTCTTTGGGAAACAGCAGTAACCAAAGTGCTCGGTGCCACATCTCTGTATAAAATCCCAACAAAACATTAAATAAGAACAGTACATGAATGTTTGAGTCCATACAGTACATAAACAGAATGGTATTTGTACAATGCAGAGCAGCCCCACACTGCATTCACGTCTTCATAGAGAAACCAGATGTCACTACTTTGTGTGATCAGCTGCTCTGAGCCTCTCCGTGCACCGCCGGTCAGACTGATTGGCCAAGTCGCATTCAAAGTTGAAAAAGCAAACAATTAAATAAACACTGATGTGTAAGAACTGTGCAGGTGTGTTGAACTCCTCTGAACAGGTCTCTGGCACGGTGCAGTAACTCAAATCTCTGGTGCTGAAACTTGAATGTAGCGTTAAACTCGCCACACGTCCCCTCTACCTGATCTGCAAAACATTTTAAACCATGTAGTCATTTTTTAAACCTTAATTATCAAGCTCATGGCAACAAGACACCCAAGGCTAAAAAACACACTAATGAATTTTGTCTTATCTACAGCATAAAACATTTGTGATAAGATAAAGGGAGAAATGTTTTGGTCACTGCAACACGATTCTGTTCAGACCACTTCACCAAGATGTCCAGATGCAACAGCAATTTGAAAGAGTAAAAGGAAAAATGGAATGATAACTGTGGTTCACAAACAGCTTTGGATAACTGAAGTGCATGCATTTAGTTTGATCTCAGGGTAAACTGCAGGATTTATCTTGGAGTTGGACCAGCCATCACTGAGAAACACAGAGCTACTGGATGTTAGTTTAAAAAAGTGTTTCCTGTTTTCCAGAAGGGACGATAAACCAGAAAAAAAACAAAAAACAAAAAAAAAACGGATGCATCTTTGTGGCTGCAAACTGTTGGTGTAAGAATGAGCTGACAACACTTCTGTGGCTGCTAGATCTAAAATATTGATCGTGTTCTCTGTGAAGACATTCAGAGCACCTCAGTAGTTTGTTTTTTTTTTATCCTATGTAAATTTTGATTTACCCTTTAAGGTTAATGGTGACAGGCTAGTTCAGAAAGGAAAGCAGAATATGAGGCTTATTTTGACAATGCAGAGTGCACCTTTCCAGGCAAAACAATCAAGGTGCATGCAGGGCGTGTCCAGACCAATGTTGCTATTTTGACAGCACAAAAAGTATATCTGTATCAGGCAGTTGTTTTAAAAGGGCTGGACTTACTCTCTTAATTAACCCATGGGTATGGTCGTGCCTAAGCGGCACACAGCGTGTCTGCAGCTTGTGCACCCACTTTTTGTTGGTCACTGGAGCAACTTCTTATTGCGTCCTCAAGGATACTAAGTGCGCCAAAAGACACCTACAAAGGCCCCTCGTTTGCATCGACACTCCCAGGTGGACGAAAGCGTATGTGGTATTTTGACAGCGTGGGCGCCATGAGGAAAAAAACAAACAAATAAAAAAACACTACGTTGGGTGCGAGACAGGAAATTACACTTTGACACAGGACTAGACCCCTGGCACTGGGTGGAAGACAGGGATCTGTGTGTGTTGGCTCTGACTTGTCCAACTGAGCCACTGAACAAGAGCTATTTAAACAATGGCTTCAACAAATCAGAATCAGGATTTTCCCTTTTATAAAGTAACGTATCTTGAATGATATTTAGGACACTTTTGTGGCTTAATGGACAAGAGCTTGTAAACAAAGTTAGTAATGAGGGCAACACAGACTAAAGCGGTAAACTCAAACAGTCTGACCAGCAAATTCTGCAGCTGCACCCTCTGAGGACATGATGCGAAACTAAGCTCTTTCATCCCCTACTGAAGGACTAAAACACAAAAAAAGCTTATCTGAAAATGTTGACAAAAACATTTCCATGACTAGAGACATAAGGAATATACGATATGTATTCAAGCATACACAGAATGAGAAGATTATTAATGGCCCAATTTAACATGGGAGCATGTCTGAAAAGATCTGCACCCCCAGCCAGCTGCAGACAGTCTTCAGAGGAGTACTCAGGATGGGGAGCAGGAGATGGATGACTGACTCAGGAAGTGGGGGAAAGGGAAATTTGAGCTGTAGGTGAGGGGATGGTGGTTGCGAGGTTATAGGTTGAGTTCGGAGATGATGGCTGAGGCGAGGCTAAAGGGCTGTAAATGGGCCTGGGAGAGATGGCTGAAGAAGGGAAGTGTTGAGCAACAGTAGTTGTTGTCGGGGAGTCTGAGCTAACCTCATCCCCTTCTTCCGAGTCCCACACTTCACTCTGCAAGTAGTCTGCAAATAAGGCCTTGGCTCGCTGCAGCACCCTGCTCAGGTTGTGGCGCCGCACTAGGCGATCGAAGTGCATGGCAAGCTCATTGTAATCCAAGCTATTCTTGATGATGTGGTCTCGATGCTCCAGCAGGATGGACAGGCACAGGAACAACATGAAGGGATTGCCTTTGCCGAACTCTTGAGGTGGCGGCAGGGAACACGGTTTAATGCTGGTGGTCTCAGCTTTTGAAGAAGTGGGCATGGTAGCTGTGATGCTGGGGGATCTGTTTCCTGGTGAAGGGAGGTTGTTGGAGGAAGACCTGCTGCCAGATGGAGAAGGGCCTCTCCCAAAGGCCAAAATGGGTGAGGAGAGTAGGGCACGGTTCTGAGCGTGGGAGGGAGAAGCAACAGACATTTTTACAGTGGGCGTCGTGGGTGAGTTGATCCCTGTACAGCCAAGCGCTGGAGCAGAGGAGGCTGCTGGTTTTGGGACAGTTCTTGGTAAGGCCTCCCTCCCATTGGTATCAGATGGGGATGAGGAATTTGGAGCAGAGTCTGGGGATGCACCTGGCCAGCTGGAGGGTGAAGCTGAAGATGTGGGAGAGACTGAGGAGCCAGTTTTCCAGACGGGTAGGCCACTAGGAAGGAGAGGAAGTGAAGACATTGGAGAAAGACCACTGTCACAGTTTTTTATGAGAGGTGTTCTCTCTCCTGGGTCCTCTTCACTGTCGACTGTGGACTGGCGCCTTGCGATGCTAGGTACCACACCCTGTGGTTGCTCAGCGTCCTCCATATCAAAGCTCTCTTCATTTCGGGCAGTATAGTATTTAAACTCCCCAAAACTAGTTTGCCGCTCAAATGGAGGAGCCTGCACATCTGCCTTGTCCATGCTCACTTGATGAATGTCCTCACCTCCCTTCCCACCTACACTTTGCCACTCTTTTGCTTCTATGATGGAATTCCTGCTCACATCTGGTTCTTCTCTTGATGGCCTCAGCATATGTCGCCTACGCTGCTTCTCTTTTTGCTCCTTATCGTCTTCTCGGCAGTTCTCAGCTGTCGCGTCCTTGTCTCTGCAGCTCGCTGCGTCATCGGCCTCTAGTGGGGGCCCCAGAAGCTCCACTTCAGTTTCAGGTGGATCAGGGGGCAGGGAGCTCCAAGTAACCTCCAGCATCCTTAAAGCATCATCAAAGGCAAACTCTCGCTTGAGCTCCAGGAGCAGCCAGCGATAGCAGAAGAAGAGGTCATCAGCTCCTCGGGACACCAAGTAGGAGTAAAACTCAGGGTCAGAGTACTGGAGGAGCAGCTTCAGATGCTGGAACTTAATCGACATGAGCTGCCCGTCTGGCCGGAAGTTCCCCTCCAAACGTTTCATAATGCCACAAAAGCAAATGAAGGCGTGCGCCTCGTTGTCCATTACTGCGAGTATAGGGGAGGCAATATCACTCATTCCTTGACAGTATGATATCTGAAAAACGTCCACAAACAGTTACATGAGTCTACAGCTTACAGGGGAAACATGTTTTAATAATGTAAATACAGATGCTTTTATGAATAATATTAGCCTGCAGAAAACACAAAGACACACACATTCTTTAAGAGAAGTCTTTCAGTTCAAGTGTAGACACAGAGCCTCATTTATTGTGCAAAATACAAGGGTCTAACCTCATTTGCTTGTAACAACAGGAGGAACTTTTCCTCTTTTTGTGTCTGCATTGCAGGAACTGAGAATGATAACAGTCCTTAGAACACTGTTTTGAGGTACATTTGTAGGTACTCTCCAAGCACAACAGGAACTATGAGTTACGTACATGTATGCTGACTGATGCACCGCTAACTGTCATTCTTTAAAACCCACGTTAGCCACGTAAACAACAAAGCCATCACCAGCAGCATGGGGAGCTGCAGCCTGCCACTGTAAGCATCTGCAGAGGGTTAGAGACTCATTATATAATTAACATAACAACACAGAGAAAGTACTTACTGGTAATGTAACTTCTCTGTGTGTTAACCATTGTGAGCTTGATAGTTAATCACTAATAGTTTGCTGGCTTTCAGTGTTATGCTACTTCAGCTTTCCTACTGTTGGTACGAACGCAAACAGAAGAAAAGCCTGTGAGGTATGTAGTTCTTGGGGGAGCTCCCCAGTGGAGTAGATCCTAGAACTGTTTGGCCTAAATTGGTGCTAAATATTATTTAATGCAGTTTTAACCAATAGTTAGTGATCTGAAAAACTTAGAAAAAAAATCAACTGGACTTAGATTTCTAGGTTGAAGACCTTTCACCTCTCATCCAAGAGGCTTCATCAGTGTAGGGCTGGTTAAAGCCAGGCCGTGTGGGGCCCCCTGGGGCAGCTGCACTCAACACACTCCAACCCTAACACGGGCACAAGCCAGCTACAGAACAGATCTACAAACCTGTGGATGTGTGATGGCAAATGTGGTGAGCAGGTCTGTGAGGGCGGTCAAATGTGGACTGTCTTCGGAGCCTGCGTAGTATGGGTGAGCCCGATCTGTCCTCAGGACATCTTTAAGCACATTTCCGCGAATAAACTCCAGGTCCTCGTGACTGGCCCGGGCTGTCCACTCTCTCTTCAGCTGGTCATACTCCCTTGTCTTCCTCTTCATGTAGTCCATTCTTTCCTGTCCACTCAGCCCATCAGGGTAGACGTTCAGGAGGTACCTCCACACAACCTAACACAACATCAGACAATTTGATTTGATTTGATTTGATTTATTCTTTCAAGCATGTAGACAGTTGATATGTCAACACACATAATTTTACACATATCCAACAAATGCTAATCCAATATCAATTTGCTTATACCTAGTACATGCTTGAATGGAGTAGGAAGAAGTCAGACTTATCCAGTCCTACCCCCTGACATCATCTTACCATCATTGGTTTGCAAGCAGTATCTCTACAATCACATCATTTAATGAATAAATACATGATTTTTCATTTCACACAAGGTTCATCAGTTCAATACGTATACTTTGTGTGTGCAAGAGAAAATAAGGTTGTTTTTACTTTTGGGGGGTTGTATTAAATATATTCATCAACAACCTCATGGCGATGCAATTTCCATGTAAATTCATAGAAGAAATAAACATTTCTAAACTGGAGGTTAAAAATAAAAAGCAGGGAAAAAACAAAAGTCCTTTATACTTTCATTGATGAAATAGAAGAGATGAAATGACACAGGCCCTTTAAAACAATGACCCAATCCCAGATATCCTTCTTTGACCAGATGTTTGCAGCACGATGACAGACTTCTATTGAAATAGGTGGATTGCATTAGATTTTCTAATGTTGTTGCATTTTTCCAGACTTCATTGTTTTATTCTATTTCATGTAAACCTTTCCTAATTCTTAATCATAAAGCCTGACTTTGTGTGTCTTGTTTTCACTTTCATCTAGCCTAAATCGGTAGGAGGAAATCTTCACTGAAAGCAGTTTGCCAAGGTTGGGCTGAAATGCTGATTCATTGTCTTGATGAAAACTAGACTAAAATGTTCACAATATTTCTGACAACTAATCTTCTGATGAGTAAAAACACATCAACTAAAATGTCCGATTTATATGAGATTAACAATCCAGATTTTCAGTTGATTAAAAAGTGACTAAAAATAAAAAGAATGATTTTTAAATGTGATTACGACTAAATGGGCTTCTGACCTCAAGACGAAGACTAGCTTTAAAATATCTGGCAAAGTTAATACTATCTAGGGATTGAGAGGGAAACCCGGTGAACAACTGCAGACTGCATTTCTGAATAAATGAAATGCTGCTTAAAATCTGCTTGAAGAAAGGTAATTTCTGTTTTGGTTTATTTTCTTGCAGAATCAGAATCAGAGCCAGGATTAAAAAAGAACCAGACCTGGCAAGTGGAATCATAATGAATAAGATCTGAACGAGACACAACTCTGCTGATCTGGGAAAGTCTACATAACACGGAACTGGTATGAGAGGCGAACAAAAGGCCCAGAGCTACACCTTGCGCAGTGAAGGCTCCACACCACCATGGTAGATTCGCAGCCTGAGTTCTTCAGGTCGTGTCAGCTGGCCTTGTCCGTTCAGGTAACTGTGAAATTCGGCATCGCTCAAAGGAGGCTTGAAAGGCTTGATCTCCTCCCCATATGACCAGCTGAAGGCTTGCTGGACTTTGGACAAGGTCCGACCCACCTGAACACAAGAGAAACGAGCACATAAGCAAAGCTCAGACTCAGAGGGAAGAAGGTAAATGACATTATGAGGAAGGTTAAAGAAGACCTGGGACAGGAGGGACTGGGTGAAGGGAAGAGCTGCAGATGCCAAAGACCTAGTCCTCTCTGCAAGAAGCTGCTCAGAGCCAATCACATCTTTGGGGCTTATGATGTCCCAGTCCTCCATAACAGGACCTGCAGGCGCATAAAATTAGGAGATATAATCACTTATTTAGCTCTACTTAAACAATAAATCTGCAGTTTTTAAAAACAGTTAGAACAATATTCTGCTGCCCATATTAGCATTTAAATAGGTTTAAACAGGCTTTCTGCCTCAACAGGTTGGGGCGAGTGGATAGAGGAGAGAAAGAAGAAGAAAAGCATCAAGACAAACCTGATCAAACCTCAACAACATGAAGCTTTTGGAACAGCCCACACGGTGTCCTTTGCTCTTCAGTCTAAACTGTATAAATCCCAGCTGTAGACGTAACCTGCTGTGGGGTCGGCCTTGCAAAAACCGTCTCTTTAGCTACTGGGCAGCTGACATTCAGATACTGCCCTCCTAGTCCCACACTCCAAACGTCTTCTGGTGCTATCTGGAATCGCCACCACTCCTGTTCCTCGTCTTTCCTTTAATACCCTCCCCCCATACGCAGACTGTTCAGTGGCTCCACTCTCACCAACACTGTAAGCAGCTCAGTTTCAATGCAGCACATTAAAAAGATCTGCTGTAATAATCTGCCATTTCACATTTAGAAAACAAATACATATCCCTAAGAACTGAAGCTATTTCCACATTACACATAAAGTGACTCAAATCCAATTTTTGATCCTCTAGTGACCCAGACCTGATGTGTCCACAGCAGTGTGAACAGACCAGATGTCCTCAGACCAGATCTGGGCCACCTGTGTATATGCTCCTAGACCCGATTCCTCTCTGACCTCTGACTGTGCGAGTGCCGTCAGAACGGTCTGATCAGAATCCATGTGGTCGTTTTAACATCTCCTCCTCTGCACATACGACCTGTCGTCATCATTCAGCGTCAGCCCCTCACAGACCAGTAACAATAAACATGGAGGGGAGCGACGACAGCGACGGGGTCAGTGGAGAGACCAGGATCTTTCACATGTGGTGGACGTTTATGGAGAAGCTTCTGATCAGGACAAACTGGGAGGAACATATCGTAACCCAGTGGTTTGGGAGGAAACTGGGCCATTTGACCGTCGCACACACCACCTGGTTGTTATTGTTGTGCGCACGTGGCTCACATTTCAGTTACATCTGTGCATGTGTGGCAGTTTAGGAGCTCAGCGGTGTTCACATCAGAGCCAGGTACATGGCCTTGACACACATGGACGGGAAGCAGCATTAAGGCCTGAGACCTGGACAAATCTTAAATACAACCTGTCCAAAATCAATTTGTCTTATCAGATTATGCCCCAATTTGTCTTCATTTAAAGTGAATCATTTGATTACACTCGTATATGTTTTTATACAGTGTACATATGTCACACAATCTAAACCGTCTTCCACACTCAACACTTTCTGTGTAATATATTGAGACCTCCAAAGTTTGGTGTGCTTTCCTTTAAAATGTTTGGCTTTGTTAGTTGGTTTGAGGATACACTGCTGCTCTTACTGTCTTCTGAAGGTTTAATGTCCATCTTGAGCTGCAGATATGGTTTGGCTGCACTGATGAATGCAACGTCTAGATCCCAGTCAGACAGCAGAGACAGATACATTTCAGTACCACTCCGGTCTCGAGACAGGTAACTGATCCCGAAATTACGCTTCCTAGAGTGAAAGGAAAACCAAGAGAAAATGCTGACACACATACTGTATTATGACAAACCCTGATGGCCTGTGTGCCTACGACAGTTTAGTGATCACTCTTACCCATTCAAATCAAAGGCCCTTATGAGGATGTGCTGCAGAACCTCCAGAGATGTTATCTGAGGGTCAACAGCAAAGGAGCGAAACTCCACAGGAAGCAGCCCATCACATTTCTGAAAAGCATCACATCACGGTCTCTAAAACATCGGCACTGACAAAAGAATATAATCACAATACTCAACAACAGTCTCAATAATACTGTACATTATACACAGTAGGTACTAGTCTATGTGCTGTTGTTTGAAAGATACTAACTGGTGGTTAGTATACAAGACCTGATGTATGGTTTTGTGCAAAAAGAGCAGGTACAGAAGGAGTGTACATGGAATCAAATGATTATGACACAAACTCCAGCCAAGTCTAAACTGAAACCTCTACTGTTGTCCGGTGACTCTGACCAAATGGTTTCTCTGCTGCACTTTTGATTCCTCTGTTGCATTCAGGGAAACTTATTACTTCACTGTAGCTGCACAATAGCTGTGTTTCTGATCTTCATTCTGTTTGCTTTTTCTTTTTAATTTTATTTCATTTGAACAATATCTCATTTTATCTTAGCAGACTATACTGTTTTAAATGCATTTTTATTTTAATGCTTTTCTTTGCATGTGTTTTAAATTACCTTGTCCATAAAAAGCAACTATACTTATGCCCTTCTTGTAGTTGACCACCACTGACTGCATAAATACATTACCCATAAATATTTTATACGTTCGATGTTGACCACAAAATGCCTCTACTCCAGGTAACAGACGTCACGACGTGGGGGTCATGCGCACACACGCACGCGTTCGCTGAGCAGACAGGTGACGTCAACTCAAGTCTGTGAGGGTTCACTGCTTTATTAGGTTGGATATGGACAATGTTTTAATAGATAAGTGTCGATTATAACAGTTACAGTCGGTCAAAACAACGGGACAGGCAGAACTGATTAGCCTCCCCAGCTGTGACTAACAACGTTCAGCTAGACAAACAATTCTGGCGATAAACACCAAGGATAAATACGCAGGAATAGATTCACTTTCGTCAGACACAGTGAACTACAGCTAATGTCGCCCGTGTTTGGTCGATGTGTAGCACTATAATGTGTGTTTGACAGCCGATTAGCAAACGTTAAGCACACAATTCAATAATGACGATAACGGTATGCTAGATAACATTAATGTTAGCAAAGTAGCTGACGCTGGCAGACAATTAGTTGCTCTAAGCTCGAGCCTCCTACCTTGACTTTGACACGAACCACCCCCCTCTCCTCCTCGCCTGCCATTTTAAAGACTCCGTGTCGGAACAGGGTGGTTGTTCTGAGTTTTGTTTTCCTCCTACCGCGACATGGTGATCAATAACAATAGATCCATGTCAATAACATGACGGAGAAAACTGGCTGAGTTCCTCTGGTTCATGGGATTCTTCTTCTGCTTTGTTTTACAGAGGACTTACAGTCGCCAGCGCCATCTGCTGGATGGGCCTTTATCATGGCTCCACTAAACCTCAAAGTATCTGTGGAAATCCGGTCGTGACAGAAGTATTCCGGTCCTTTACTCAAGTAAAAGTAGTATTACCACAATGTAGAAACATTAGTTTCACGCTGAAAATAAAATATGATCAAATGATATAGTATACAACCAAACATTCAGCTAACTATCCAGCAGGTTTCCGGTCATGAGACTTCTCTTTTGGTGTATGCTGGGAAATGTATTTCCTCGTTACTCATTTTGCATTTGTTCTCGGCTACACGAAATCGAGCGGAAACACCACCTCCCAGACACACCTTTGCTATAGGCGGTTATTACTTCATTTCCACACTGAATATGATACACAAACGTAAGAGTTGTTACGCTTTTAGCAGATAACTCTGATAAGTGTTATTAGGGAAATGCAATAGAAGCTTTCGATACATTAGCAGCTTATTTGTAGCAAGGCGCTCTTATTAGAGCTGTTGGTTTTTATCATGGAAGTGAGGAATAGCAGCCTTGTAGCTGTTAGTAGCTGTTCCTAGCTAACTGAACATGGAAGCTAGCTTTCTAGCCTGCTTTCCATGGGAAGCCCACACTAATACTAGCCATTAAATAACACCGTTACCATCCGATGTTGTGCTTTAATGCTGCCTGTTAATTTGTTCATCTTCTGAAAAACTTAAGCGATGGAGGAAGTTGACAAAATTTTGATACACGCCCTCAAACAAGTTGGCACGTAAGTATCAACAGCTCATTGTTTTTTAAGTTACTGTTAATGCATGCTTCCCACAGGCTATTAAAATTGCGCATTAGCTGACAGTGCTGTCATAAGGCATTCACGTGATAAACGGTAGCGTCAACAGCGGCTAAGTCAGCCCCATCATATGATAACAATAAAGAGACTCTGTTGTGCATTTCATTTTAAATTGATAAAATTGCCGTTTTGATAAAGTGAAAGCATGTTTAAAATTATTGCAAGTTTTTCTTTTATCAGAAAGCTAAAATGTGTCTACAGAACTATGCAGAGCCTTCATTCAGTACTTTGTAGAAGCCCCTTAGGCAGCAGTTACAGCTTTAAGTCTTCTCGGGTACGTCTACAGGCTTTGCACATCTGGATGTGTGTAGCTTATCTCGTTCTTCCTGCAGATCTTTTCTAGCACAGTCAGATTGGATGGGAAGCATCTGTGTCTTCAGGTCTTTCCACAGATTTTCTCCAGGCTTTATATCAGGACCTTGGTTGGCCCCCTCAGTGACACACAGACTGTTGTCTTGGCTGTTTGCCTCAGGTCATTGTTGTACTTGAAATGTGAAACTTTAAGCAGCATTGCCACCTGTTCTTGCTGCTGAGAAGCAAGAACAGGTGAAGGTGAAAGTTTGAATTATTTCTGAAGGGTTGTTTGAAATTTGTGACCAATGAATACAATGTGATGACAGTACGTTAATATTTGATTTGTGACCCACAGGGAGGTGAGTGAGGAGACTGACAGTGTCAGACAGTTCAGCAGTGAGATGATAGTGGAGGCGGTGGTCCGATGTATCCGGGTGATCAATCCAGGCCTGGGCAGTGCACTGCCCACCTCCCTTCCTCCAGGCATGTCTGCCCGCTTCAGAGTGGGCATGAGCCTGGCACAAGCCTGTCAGGTACAACACCTCTGAGTTAAGAGCCACTGTAGTTAAGGTTGGAAAGTGAACAAAACTGTGCCCATACATTAGCAATTGAATAAAAATGACAAAATACAGAAACAACTGTAATTTGGATTTATTAACAGAATAGCCTCTTGAGATGTAGCATCTCATTTTCAAGGGGGTTCCAACACATGGCAGTGTAATGAAAATATATGGTAAATGGATACAAACTTTTATGTAGTTCTTTTGAGTACAGTACACACAGTTTTTTTTGCAAGTTGCCTTCTACAAATTGTATGTTATTAATTGATTAAGGGAAACCCTTGCCCACTCTTATTGGAGAGAATACTTTACTACTTTATTTTTGGATCCTCCTTTTCTTCTTCGTCTTCAAGACTCACAATCCTTACCAGTAATATCAAAATGTTTCTAAGAATACAGTGGTGTTAAAAAGTTCACTTAACAGGTTGTTGACAGGTTGAACCGCTGCCTGTAGCTTATATGTCCTGTTGGTTTGCAGGACATTGGTTACAAAGGAGAGATAGGCTACCAGACATTTCTGTACAGTAACGAGCCCGAGATCCGCTCTCTGCTCATGTTCCTGGTGGAGAAGCTGCCCAGAGAGAGCGCCGAGGCCTCAGACCAGCCAACAGGTGCAGACAACACCAGCCGTTCTGTTGGCTGCACAGTTTCATGTTACCCCTCCTCAGTGAGAAAGAATGTTTTGTGTCATTGTGTTGTTGCATGCGCTGTCTTATTTGTTCTATAACACAAACTACTTTAAACCTGGTTTGTAGCAATGAACTAATTTATTCATTTAGATTTGAGACTTCTGCACTGATGATTACTTTTTTTTTGTGAAGTGTGGGTATTTCCAACTTATGCAGTCTATGAAATGCAAGAAAGGGAAAAGGAGGGAAAGTAAATAAACTACCAATAACAATGATGATAACTGTACTACTAATAAAATCAGCTTGTTCCATTTCTAGAGGTTGGTGGGAATGTGCGTGGCCTCAGCCCCAGGTGTTTGGTTCAAGTTGAAACGTGTTAAAAATGGTTCCATGTGTCATAAAAAGCTGATAAACTGTTCTTGTGAGTGGATCCTATTTTCTGTCAGAAGGTTGGTCCAGTGGTTTATGTGTAGTGAT